CTCGGAGACGGATCCTCGGCGGAAGGCCCGCCTCGCGGGAACTAATGGGCAAACCCCGCCGAGACCCCGGGGCTGGGAAGGCGGTGCCGGGCCCGCAATGGGCTCCAGTGACTACCCAGAATGCTAAACAGCTCGCAGTCGCATCTGCCGTCTGGGCCGCCACAGCTGGGACACTTTTGTTCCTAGGAAGTGGCGGGACTAAGGAGGAGGCCGGGTGGGGAGAGCAGAGAGGAAACCCAACCCCGGCGAGACGCAGGAAGAGGGGTTGCCTTTATTGAAGCCGGTAGTTTCAAGCGGGTGTGTCAGAGTGGTCCCTCTGCGCAGGGATGGGGTCCTGTTCGGGGGTCCCCAGCGCCCCAGCCCTCACAGCCCCCGCAGCGCTTCGGCCTCCAACACCCTCCCGCAGCGGATCCCGGCGCCCAGAGGCTACCATTGGCTGAGAACGTGTGCGCAATCTTACGTAATCCTCGCCACAGTCCTAGGAGATAGGTACGTGTGATTGTAATCCCCATTTTACAGATAAGGAAACTGAGGCTCCGAGGAGTGACACATCCCCGAGGCCACTCGGAAGCCAGCCAGGACTTTAACCCAAGCGGATGGAAGTTATCCTCCCTAAGTCAGATTCGAACCACAGTACCTGGGGTTGTGTTTACAGCAGCATTGCTGTGTGGCTGCTGCTACCATTGCTATCCCCGGGTATTTCTTAAACCCCTGAAATAAGTGGTTAGAGGGTGCTGGGTTTGCACATTATCTAAGGGAGCCAGAGGTCTCCCGCTGCCCTCGCCCTAAGCCCTGGCTTTGTAACAAACGGCTCAACTGAGGCCGCCTGGGTGCGGATGAGCCCTGGTGTAGCCCTCAGCTGCCAGACGCTGCCAGACCCTGAGGGAAGGCGGTACTTAACCGGGGCAGGCCTGTGAGTGTGGAGCTTTAACAGGCTGTGCAGCCTGGGGCAAGCTCTCTGCCTCTCTGAGCCTCAGTGTCCTGTCTGCGCTCTGCAAGGATAGCTCTTCCTCCTGGGGTTGAGGGTGGAGTGACATTTCCCACCGAGCGCTTCAGCGGGCGCCTGGTGCATTTACTATGCTTATGATTAGTGGGAGGTGCATCTTCTCAAGATGAATTGTTCTTGTTCTCCTAGAGAGAAGGAGGCACCCAGAGAGGAGTGACTCGCTCACCTTCAGACAGTAAGTGGTGGGGCTGGGATTCCACCAGTGATGTCTGCGTTCAGAGCCGCGACTCACCCCAGTCCGTGCAAAGTCCCCCCACAAAGAATCTTCTAGAAATGGCTTAGTAAGAGCAACCAGGTGTTGTGTCGCCTTCCGAGGCTTCTGTGTATTTTGGTTGCTAGTGCCTGGCACACGACACCTGCTCGGCTCCTGTTTATTACATAATAGTAACAGTGAGGAGCCTTTTCAGAACATCTACTGAGGGCCGGGCAGCTAACCACGCATTTCACACGGGTGATCCCATTTAACCCTTCAGACACACCTAGGAAGGAGACCGCACGTTGGAGATGAGACACCCGAGGTTTGGGGACATTCGATAATGTGCTGGTGCCCACAGGGGCTGGGCGAGCATCCAGGTGTTGTGACTCCGGACAGGGGGGACCTGGTGTGCGCTGAGCCTACCCTGAGCCGCGCACGGCACTCAGGACATCGCCGATGTTTCTCGCTCCATCCTCTCAATAAGCTTGTTGTTAAAACTTTATTTTACAGACGAGGAAAGGAGGGCTCAGTGACTTTCACATGTATTTGCTGAAGGTCACACAGCTGCCTGCCTACCCACAACAGTTCTCTCTCTCTCTCTCTCTCTCTCTCTTCTCTCTCTCTCTCTCTCTCTCTCTCTCTCCCCTAGCCCAGCATGCGCCAATCTATTTCGAAAGTTGAGGTCTTCAACCAAAGTTGGGGTGCTCTGTGGAGACAGGGGCAGACACGGTTTTAACGGGTGTTGCTCTCACACAAAATGTGGCTCCTCCCATGAGAAGGCAGGCCAACGTGGTATTTCCTGGACTCTGAGAGGGAGGGCATGTCAGCGATGTGTAGTGAGCAGACAGTGATGGAGGGTCTGGAGGGAAGATGGACGTAAATAGAGGAGCCAGGGCTGAGGGGGACAGGGGGCCCGCAGGCCTGCTCTCTGCCTGCAAGTGCACAGCACAGAGCCTTGCCGGAGCCAGAGCGCCTGCTCCCGCCTCAGCAGCGCCCCCTCCTGTCCTTTCCTCCTCCCGCTGCACAGGGCGCTGGGTCTGTCCCCACCTGCCTGCAGAAAGACTGCCCCCCTCCTCCCAACCCTCCCCCCATTTCTAAAGCAGGGGAGGGAGGGGCAGCATCTGTGTTACCCAGTGGCATCAAATAAGGTGGATTATTTTGTTTGTCCTCCAATCCACCAAGTAAAAAGCAAAAGACCTTGAACCTGGAGTTACTCAGTCCTGAAGGGCAGACGTCTGGGATCTGTGTCTTTCACATGAGCCAGGTTTTGCCAACCTGGTTGTGTGCTGTGCCAGACAAGCTTCTCCCGGCCCCAGAATGCTCAGCGCACTGGGCACTTAGTAGGTGGTTTGGCGAGTCCTGGCGACCCGCCGACCCACAGCTTAAGCTGCTCTGGTGGGCGGGCAGGGCGGGGCGGGCATGAGCTGCCAGAATGCCTGCATCCTGACCTGCCGGCTCCCTGAGAAAGTGAAGGTCAGGGTGTGAGGCTTCCGGGCAGGAAGCCGGCCTGGGCATCCTGCAGAGAAAGTTGAACCTGCACTTCATGGAGTTTAAAGATGATTTGTCAGTGGCGACAATGTGCAAAAATATATTTCTGTTGCAGCATCTCCCAATCGCCGGGATTTATAGTTTCATCACTCGGGTTTGAAAGCACACCCGTGTGCTCCGGCAAATGGGAAAATGCATGAACAATTTGTTGGTTGTTTTTTTGTTGTTGTTTTTTATCAAGTTTCCCCAAATACGTAAACTCTGAGAGGGCCTTGTTCTTTTTAAATGATCGTTCATTTGTCTCTAGACTCTATCTTTTGGCACAATTTATTATTCTCTATTTCAAAAAACTTAAATGCATTTTGCATATTAGCACGTAACTCTTGTTCCTGTCTCCTCCGTTGTGGCAAAGGCTGGATTGCTTTTATAAAGAAAAAAATGGCTAATAAAATTGGCCTCAGCACCAATGCTCTGCAATTCTTATGAACAGTAAAGTGGTACTTACCGTCATTGATGTTAAAAGCTATTTCTAAATTATGGTGCCATTTATTATCTCTAGTGTCCAAAGTAAGTTTAAATGATGCTTATAATTCATGTTTTACCAAATTTCCTTTTCCCCCTGAGGATACCTCTGATTAACTTATGCACATTAAAGCGCTTTTTAAATTCTTCTTTTATTGCCATTATGCTCTGAAAGTCTCAGCGATTCTCAAAAATGGGTAATAAACTTGAGATAAAATGCTGCAGTTTTAGATCAATGCTGACATATCACTGTGGTGATTTCTACAGAGCTAAAGTGATAATGCTTCATATTTACGGAATATATACTAGGTTATTACTGCAGTATTACCATTTTGTTCTAAGATGAAATGAGTAATTTACCAATTTATTAAACAGTTACATTTAAGTATTGCTTAGGACATTACCACCCCAATCTGTTTACTTAGCTTGAAGAGTTACCATTAAGATACCCTGTTTATTTAGGTAAAATTTGTAATCATCATGCCTTCCATTAACCGACGTATTTTTCTGCGAGGCTAATTGTCTGGAAATGAGTTTCTCCTTATTTACTGGCTCCATTCTGCTTAGCTGGCTAAAAACGTCACCCCGGCAAGGAGTGCGAGGGAAATTAATAATACATACAGAGAACAGTTTTAATTAGTATAATACCAAATGTTAATAAAAGATTTATGACACCGTTAAAAAGTTCTAACGGAAGAGATCGTAACCGCTCCGGGCTCCGTGTGTCAGGAGGGGACAGCCTGGCTGCAACCTTTTGTGCGAGGCTGGATGTGGGTGGTGCTGGGGAGCTGCGGGGGCTCCTGGGGGCACAGGCTGGTGCGGGGGAGACCCTGCCTTTGACAGGTTTGCTGGGAGCGGAACAGACAGGGTTCACACTAAGGAATGGGAATTTGGGGCATCGATGTAGAACGCCAAGTCTAACTCGAAAAATGGCAAGCTTTCTGCAAAGGAGAGGAATACAGTCTGAGCCTCTCCCCCCTTCTCTCTCTCTCTCTCTCTCTCTCTCTCTCTCACACACACACACACACACACACGCACACACACACGCACACACCAGCCCTGAGACATTTTTCCCGGGCACATAGGTCTTCAGTTCCAGTTGGGAACAGGTGGGACTTTGAGAGGCTGGGCTGCTGTTAGCTCAGAAACGCTGGGGAAAATGGATCGATCTGGAACTGAGAAAAGGAGACATCTACGAGCATCTATTATGCGCCATCTGCTTACACATGTCTGCTGGAATGGGCACAGCTGTGAGCTAGCATTATCCCCCTGTTGTGGGTCCGGAAGGGAAGCCCTTGGGAGGGTCAGGCAGAGGGAGAGCAGGGCAGGACGCACCTCGGTCTGTGGAAACCTCACAGCACTGACCCCGTGTGGCAATACCACTGAGGAGCAAGCAACCCCGTTGTCATCTGCACCTTTTGTCCCCATGATGTCAGCTAGTGGGTGTCCCGACGAGTGATGGGATGCTCCCGTTTGCATCTGGAAATCTGGACGGGCGGGTGCAGTCCCACCCTCCCACTGTCCTGCTGGCACCGAAGGGGCAGCGCTCTTTCTGAGGTGCCCATCTGCCCTGCCATGACATGAGGTCACAAGGGCGGGGCCATTTCTTACCCTCTTCAGATCCTCCGTGCCTGCCACATGGGAGGCCCTGTTTCTAAAAAAATGTTTTTATTGATTTTAGAGGAAGAGAGAGGGAGAGAGAAACATTGATCGGCTGCCTCTTGCAGGCTCCCTACTGGGGATTGAGCCTGCAACCCGGGCATGTGCCCTGACCGGGACTCGAACCAACAACCTTTTGGTGCATGAGCCGATGCCCAACCAACTGAGCCACACAAGCCAGAGCAGTAGGTCCTTTTAAAAAGATTTAAAGGAGCCTGGCCAGGATGCCTCAGTGGTTGAGCTGTGGCTCCATCCCCAGTAGGGGGCATCCAGGAGGCAGCCAATTAATGATGCCCTCTTATAATTGATGTTTTCTATCTCTCTCCCTCTTCCTTCCTTTCTGAAATCAATAAAAATATATATTTTAAAAATAATAAAAAATAAAAAGATTTAAGAAAGTCCTGGCCAGGTAGCTCACCTGGTTAGAACATCCTCCTAATATGCCAAGGTTGTGGGTTCTATCCCTGGTCAGGACACATACAAGAATCAACCGATGA